TTTACCACTCAAAAGCCACAAGTAGAAGTATGGCTCAAGTGGTAGAGTGCCAGCCTTGATTGACAATGCTAAGGGACAGCAAATAGGCCCTAATTTCAAGCCCAGGACCAGCACCAAAAATAAAAACAAGCCAACAAACAAATAATAGAAGTACTAAACTGTAATTTATAAACTATCAACCATTTTCTAAATTCTATACTTACTATAATTAGATCTGTGTCTCAGTTGGATATTTCCAGTTTAGTTTGCAATAACAATAGAGAACTGGCCCTAAGAAGCTTGCCTTTGACCGCAATTTGTTTCTTCTCAGAAGAAAGGGGAATGCTTCATTTCTGGAGAAGCTTTGGTATCAATCTTGGTATTGCTGTGGTCATCTGCAGAATGGGGTCAGCATGATGCCTTTCATGATGGAGCCCAGCCCTCCTTATTCCTGCCAGCGTGGGTAGAGAGGGCCATTTTGTTGTCTCCATCCAGCAAGGCTGAGGAGACGGAGTCTGTGGCAAGATTTCTTTGGCCAAAGCAATGGAAAGCACAGGCGAATATCCAAGTATCTGAGGTGAATGTGTGTTTTGCTGCCCCAAATACTTGAGCATCTCTTTAATTTCACTACAATGATGTGAACATGGATATTGCTGCTGGTATAAGCTTATCTACTTCTTGGATCTCTTCCCATGTTTATCTACAAATGGTGAGGGTGTGTGTGTGTATGTATGTGTGTGTGGTACAATGTGTGCTTATATGTCTAAATTGGTATCGAAATTAAATGAAACTTTTAGGTCCCTGACTATATGATTATTAAATTGGTAGATGTAAAGTTATTTTGAAGTAATTGCAGCCTGGCATGCCTCAAAAATAATTCTGAGTATAAATCCACATCTGCTTATCTAACAATAATACTTTGAATACAGGGATTCCTGAACACAATATGAATATTTAGGGTAGGTACCAGAGACATCTAAATTCTGAGTTAGCACCAAGAGTTCCATAAATTATCAGCAGATCCTGTGTTCTTTTTACTACATCCAGGGTGTGTGTATGTGTGTGTGTGTGTGTGTGTGTGTGTGTGTGTGTGTGTGTGTGTGTGTCTGTGTCTGTGTCTGTGTGTCTGTACTGGAGCTTGGACTCAGGGCTTTGAGCTATCACTTAGCTTTTTCACTCACAGCTGATATGCTCTACCACTTGAACCACCGCTCCACTTCATGCCTCTCAGTAGTTAATTGGAGATAAGAGTCTCACAGACTTTTTGGTACAAGCTGGCTTCAAAATGCAATTCCCAGTTCTCAGCTTCTTGAGTAGCTAGGATTTATAGGTGTGAGCCACCAGCAGCTGGCTCAAGGTCTTTGAGTTAGTCATACAAATAAAACCCTAAGTAATCCAAGAGTTAGTTAACTTTTTTTTTCTAATGGGTAACTTTGGCTTTATTTTTCCCCACAATGTATTTTTTGTAATTAAATTACTTTTTTTAAGTCAATATATACCAGACAATGAGAGGGAAAGATAAATGGATAAAAACTTAAAGCAGGAATTTTTACTACTTAGGACAACGCTGGTAATCTTCCTAATATGATGAATGTAAGAAATTAACTATGCATTTTCTTTATTGATACTGAGTAGAAGCCTACTACACTGAGAAGACAATTTGGGGTCCTTGTGTCTCAATGCAGAGAAGAGATTTCAGGGGGAATTCTTTTCTTCCAGAGTCCAAGGTTGTGAGATGAAGGACAGAAAAATCACTTGGTGACTTCTAAGAATAATTCTTGACTTAAAATGGTATGTTCAAATGGCAACACAAATGCAAAGATTTCACACTTACTGGGAAGAAGTGGAAAGACAAACATGGAATCCATGGAGAAATTGACAACAATAAGACTGTAAAAACATTCTCAATTTAGACAAAGAAATGATTTTTCCATATTTGTGAAAGAAATTTGTAGGATGATGTCTCCAAGTAAACACATTATTGGATTAATTTTTGCCTGAATGGTAAAAATTGGCATGCTCAGGATAAAATCTCTGCTAGTATAGAGCAACTGGAAGTAATAAAGAATCCTGAACATTTTCATATGAAAGACTTTTAGACTACCATTGCTCATAATTGAAAATATAACCATATTACTCAGAATAAAAAATGCCATGATAGCTTTCATTAGGTTAGTTTATTCAGCTATTTTACCTTAACTTATGCACCAAAGACTTTCAAAGTAGTTTAGTCATCAACCAAAATGACCATCTTGAGAAAGTATCTGACAACCATGCTATTAGGCCAAGTAAAGCAATTTTCATAGATTACAGCTAATGCAGATGACAGCTAACTTGTATTGCTTTCTAATCTGAAACTATATATTTTTCCTCAGAAACACACATACACACACACACACACACACACACACACACACACACACACACACCCATACACATGCACAAAATTGTTCTCTCTGAATAAAAATCCACCTAAGACAAAATACAGGTATAAAGCTTCTAGTAAAATAACATAAACAACACAAGTATGTTTTGAGGCACAACAATTTCTATAATTTTCCTATTATCTGTTCTAGTTTCAATTCTTTCTCCAAAACATTTTCAAATTCTATGGAGTATAATATTTTGGGGGTTGAGAATCAGACAGAATGAAGTATTTTAGATAATAGTAATTTTTCCTATCTGCTCACTGATTGAAACCTCAGACTTAAATTAAGAAGTATACTGTAAGATAGCTTACAGGTATATATGCAGAGAGCTTAAAAGTAAGATGCTGATTTCATTTCCTTCTTGGGAAGCTTCAGTGACAGACATGTTTGTTCGCCCAGGTATGGGAAAAGTATTCCTAACAATGGATGGTATTGCCGAGGGTATTTTTCTTGTTGTTATTTGTTTTTTGTCTGTACTTGGGTTTGAACTCATGGCTAATTGGAGATAAGAGTCTCACGACTTTCTTTCTCAAGCTGACTTTGAACCTTAATCCTCAGATCTGGTGCCTAGCTACTGAAGATATTTTAACACAGCAGGAGAGTAAAGGAAAGAACAAATTTTAAAATGGTTAGTAAGGGAAAGAAGTTATGGCTTAAATGGTAGAGCATCAGCCTGTGATCAAAAGCAATAGGCCCTGTGTTCGATTCCTCATCTGGAAAAACAAAACAAAACAAAACAAAAACCTATTTGCGCACTGGTAATCCTAGCTACTGAGGAGGCTGAGATCAGAGGCTGAGATTTGAACCTGCCCAGGCAGAAAGATCTAAGAAACTCATATTTCCAATTAACCAGCAAAAAATTGGAAGTAGGGTAGTGGCTCAAGTAGCAGAGTACCATCCATGAGGGAAAAAGCCAAGTGAGAACATAAGGTAAGACTTTGAGTTCAAGTCCCATTACCAGTACCATTTAAAAAAAAAAAAAAAGGTCAAGGGGCTAGGAAGGGGGCTTGCTTTGCATGCATGTGGCCCTGGGTTCGATTCCTCAGCATCACCTAAGCAGAAAAGCCGGAAGTGGTGCTGTGGCTCAAGTGGTAGAACACCATACTTGAGCGGAAGGGCTGAGGGACAGCGCCCAGGCCCAGAGATCAGGCCCCACAACTGACCAAAAAAAAATTTTTTTTTAAAAAGGTCAATAAATATTTTTAAAAGAAGAACTGTGGCATTGTAATTTTAATGTGACATTGAGAAAAGAACTATAAAACTATGTAAAGGATAGGGCAATTCAGTAAATATGAATGAACATGCAAATATGAATTTTATAGCAGTACAAAAGATAGCTCACACAAAGATTACTGTAAAACACATCAGAGAAAGTCTCAATATTTATGAAATTTTGGAAGATAGCACTCATATTTGGAACATCAGGGAAACATTTCTGAGGTTAGTAATACTTGAGCCAAAAAGGTCAATATGACTTAGGCAACAGAAAGGCTGAGATGACTAGATGCTGGTAGTTCATGTAATTATAGCTACTCAGGAGGCTGAGATCTGAGGTTCACAGTTCAAAGCCAGCCTGAGCAGCCAAGTCTGTGAGACTTTTGTTTCCAATTAACCACCCAAAAGCTGGAAGTGGAACTATGGCTCAAGTAGGAAAGCACCAGTCTTGAGTAGAAAAATAAAACGCTAAGAAACAGTACCAATCCCTGAGTTCAAGCCCCTGGCACCCAAAAAAAAAAAAAAAGATATGAGACATATACTAAATTCTATGAATCCCAGAAGAGATAGAGACATAGTAGTCTGTGTGTGTGTGTGTGTGTGTGTGTGTGTGTGTGTGTGTGTGTGTGTGTGTGTGTGTGAATCATTTGAACATTGGTAGTTGGCAATGAGGAGTGGTGACTAATAGAACACAGACATTCTGAAAGAATTGCATACAATCTCTTGGGAACTAAGCTTAAAAGAATTGTCTTCTCCACAGTCAATGAGAGAAAAGGCAGTTAATAGGCACTCCATGTCCTGTTCCATATTCCACTCAGCAGCTCAGATGCCAGCAGCAAAGAGAGTGTATCTCCAACTCACCTTGGTCCCCTCACTTCCTCTGTGATAGAAGGACAATTATAGCTGGGTTAGTTTGAAAATAAACAATGAATAACCACAGGATATGTATATCAGTTATCTTCTTATGAGAGTCATAAAGATATACCATGTGCTGTCAGGATGAGCCACGTCAACAGTCAATATCTATCCACACACAAAAACACTACAACAGTCGACACTAGAAAGTCTTAGAAGGAAATGAGAACATGGATGAGTCCTAAATTTTCATCGGCATTTATTTTCCAGAAGATCTGAAGAAAACAACAAAACCAACATTCTTTAAAGCTTGCCCAGCATAAATAAATTCTCTATCTATCTATCTATCCATCTATCTATCCATCTATCTATCTATCTATCTATCTATCTATCTATCTATCTATCTATCTATCTATCTATCTATCTATCTACCTATCTATCTATCTATCTATCTGCTTGTTTGATGTGAATCTGAATGTCAGATGTCTTTTGATTTTCAATCTGAAAGTGCGTGTGCCTTACCTCGCACAACAAGGTCAGCTGAGGCTGAAGAATTGTCTACAATCGTCTGGGCGGTGCACGTGTATCTTCCTGCGTGTTTGAGCTGGGCATTTCGGATGAGGAGTTCTCCATTGGCATCCAGCTGTTAGGGAAGGAGAGCAGTCATTCCAGTCAGTAGAATTCTGTCACCAATTCTATGGCATTTAGTATACAAAGACTGTGTTTCTTTTTCCTATGGAAATGAGCATCATTGGAAAAAAAATTTGTTTTAGCTGGACACCTGTGGCTCACATCTATAATTCTAGCTACTTAGAAGGGCTGAGACTTGAAGGACCATGGTTCAAGGCTAGCCAGGGCAGAAAAATTTGTGAGACTCCATCTCCAGTTCACCAACAAAATGTCAGCCTGGAAATGTGGCTCAGGTGGTAGAGCTTGAGCCTTGCATGCTAGTTGAGTAAGCCTGAGGCCTGAGTTCAAATCCTGGTACCAGGGCTTCAGTTTCTCAACTGAAAATTGACCAAATCAACTATTTAAATCCCCCTTAGCCTTTGTATCTTTAACCTTTCTATTAACAAAAATAATTTCTGTGAACATTATTTTATTATCCTGAGAGAAAGTTAAAAGATGAGATTATTGATACCTTTTTAAAGAAAAACATTAAGGTCTAATGATCTGGGCACTAAATGTGAGTGTGGATAGAGGTTTCAACCTGGGCAGACAAATCTAAGAGACTCATATTGCCAAATAAACCAGAAAAATACTAAAAATGGAGGTATGGTAGAGTGCTAGCCTTGAGCACAAAGGCTCAGGAATAGCACCTAGGACCTGAGTTCAGGCCCTAGCACTACACACACACACACACACACACACACACACACACACACACACACACACACACACATTCATGCACGCATGCACAGATGGACACATGCAAAGACATAAACAGATAGTCATAATCTGGGCATATTGGCTTAAATGGTTGAAAGAGATCCTAACAGAAAGTCACAGAAAGTCCTTTGCTGACTTTGGTAGGGGGAGGGGGAAGAGGGTTGGGTGGGGGGCGGGGGGGGGGGAGGAGGATAGGATGGGAAGGGGAAACAAAGGAGGAGGCTACAATGCTTGATAAGAAATGTACTCATTATCTTGCCCATGTAATTGTAACCCCTCTGTACAGTATTTTCACAATAAAAAATATATATATTAGAAAAAATAAAAATAAAATAAAAGTCCTTTGCTGGTTGGCTACACACACAACTTGTTCTTTGATATTAGGTGGTCTCAGTTAACACACAGGTAGATATTTGGTTATTTAGTGTCTGTTGGGGTCTTCCTGTCCCTTAAAGTCAAGATTCCCTAATATGGAAACAATTTCTAATACTTCTGCAAATTCTTGAATTAGGGGAAGGCATTTTGTTGTTGTTGTTCAACCGCCTTTCTCTTGGTCTACATATATTCATTCTTTGACCATACCAAGCAGCTTCAGACAAGACAATAAGCCCCTTTCCTGTGTTTTACCATAAAACCTACCAACACCAAGTATTTCCTCACAAGATGGCCTATCAAAAACTTAAAAGTGATGCAACAGGCTGTATCCTACAAGGCAGAACAAATAAATATTTAAGGATCAGACATTCTATATGTCTGTTCTCAAAAGTCCTCCTAGTCACCTGTTGTTATTTTTTGGTTTTGTTTTATTTTGTTTTGTTGGTCCTGGGACTTGAACGCTGGACCTGGACACTCTCCCTGAGCTCTTCAGCTCAAGGTATGCGCTCTACTACTTGAGCCATAGTGCCATTTCTGGTTTTCAGGTGGTTAACTGGAGATAAGAGTCTCACAGACTTTCCTGCCTGGGCTGGCTTTGAACCTTGATCCTCAGATCTCAACCTCCTGAGTAGCTAGGATTACAGTGTGAGCCCATCTATAGTCACCTGTTTAATGGAGAGTCGCTAATACCCTTCATCTCTTCCAAAAGCCCTCCATCTTGCCAACAGGTGTTCCTGTTACTGTCTCTTACTCTTTCTTTTCATTTTATCCCCTTGCAAACAAAAATTGGTTTTGCTTCATTGTATGTCACTTAAATTCTTTTGATAGCTGCATGGACTTCAATGATACCTAGTCCTCCGATCCTTGCTTTTTGTGGTTAGTTATTCCATTTCTGCGTCTTGCTTCTCATGTAATTCTAATCTTGACTCCAACTCTTCCGCTCCTCTTTTTAAGCCTCCCCAAAGCTTTGACCTTCTTTTCCACAGAGTTAGCTTTTTCTAGTCAGCTGTGGTTTCCCCAGAAACTTTGTGACATACAATTCTAGTGTTTTCTTTTTGATGCCAGTCCTGAAATTTGAACTCAGGGCTTAGGTGCTGTCTCTGCACTTTATTCACTCAAAGCTAGTGCTCTACAACTTGAGCCATAGCTCCACTTCTGGGTTTTTGTTGGTTTATTAGAGATCAGAGTCTCATAAACTTTCCTACTCCAGAAGGCTTTAAACTATGATCCTCAGATCTCAGCCTCCTGAATAGCTAGGATTACAGATGGGAATGACAATTCTTAAGCTCTCCTGCTTTTCAATTTCCTCACAATTTCATCATTAAGTCTTAAATCTGTCCATCATTTTCCATCACTTTTGCCTCTGTCCTTACCCAAAGTACCAATATCTCTCTCCTGACCTGGCCCCCACCTGCTATTTGATCACTACCTGCTGCTTTGTCCTGTTGTATTCTTCATTTATTGCCCAGACTAGCCTTTAATTAATTAATGTTGGATCATATAGTGTCTGAACTCAGGTCCCTATCTGCTCACTTAGCTTGCTTGCTCAGAGCTAGCACTCTACTACTTGAGCCATGCCTGCCATCTGGCATTGTACTGGTAAGTTAGAGAAAGAAGTCTTAAAGACTTTTCTGCCCAGGCTGGCTTCAGATCATCATCCTCCAGGTCTCAATCTTCTCGGTGCCTAAGATTGTAGGTGTGACCATAGACATCTGGCTAGAATAACCTTTGAAATAAATGCAACTGTGACAGGATGCCAGTGCCTCATCCTTGGTCCGGCTGAGATCTGAGAATCACAGTTGGAAGCCATCCTAGGCAGGAAAATCCGTGAAACTGTTATGTCCATTAAACTATCAAAAAAGCCGGACGTGGAGCTGTGGCACAAGTGGTAGAGCACTAGCTCTAGCTAATGCTTTGAGCAAAAGCAGCTCGGGGAGAGCAACCAGGCCTTGAGTTCAAGCCCTAGGATGGGCAACAAAAAAAGAAAGAAAGAAAGAAAAAACAAAAGAAAAACCAGCAATTGTGCTCATCACACCCATTTCTTTCCTTTTTTTTGTTTTGGTCAGTCATGGGGCTTGAACTCAGGGCCTAGATGCTGTCCCTGAGCTCTTTTGCTCAAGGTGAGAGTTCTACCACTTTGAGCCACAGCTCCACTTCTGGTTTTTGAGTGGTTAATTGGAGATTAACCTGGGCTGGCTTTGAATTGTGATCCTCAGATCTCAGCCTCCTGAGTAGCTAGGATGACAAATGTGAGTCACCAGCACCCAGCCAATACACCCATTTCTATAAAGGAAAATCAGAACCAAAAACCTGAAACACTTAAAAATTCTCTTTTCTCAGATAAAATACATAAGCTTCCTAACAGTCAACTTGTGTCTATTCTTCTGGTTTACCCAAGACGCCATCTCACCTGGCACTGCTATCTTCCTTATACTCTGTTCTTTAGGGAAAAGGTACTCATAAATTCACCTTGTCCTCTCTCTCTGCTGTGATTCTCCAGGGTGTCTCATCTCTTGGAATTGTGATTCCTTATAGCACCTTAGCTAAAACAACATGCTTGACATTCCACCCCACTAACATCAATCAAACCATCTTCCCAGGCAAGGCTTTCTCTGGATTAAACAGATCATCTCATTATATCTATCTGTCTATCTAATCTATGGAATCTATCTATCTATCTATCTATCTATCTATCTATCTATCTATCTATCTATCTATCTATCTATCTTTATCATGGCACCTTGAACCTGTGTCACATCATATTACATATCTCAAGGGTGATTACATATTTGTGTAATTGTATGTTTAAAGTGATGCTCCCTACCAGGCACTAGTGGCTCACATATATAATCTTAACTAGGAGATCTGAGGATCATGGCTGAAAGCCAATCTGGATAGAAAAGACCAAGAGACTCTTTTCTCCTATTAATTACCAAAAAGCCAGCAGTAAAGGTATGCCTCGAGTGGCATGGTGCCAGCTTTGAGGAAGTAAAAGCTAAGCAAGAGCATAAGGCCCTGAGTTCAAGCCTTAGTGCCAGCACAAAAATCAGCCAATTAATCAATTAATTAAATGAGACTCCAGACAGACTCTTAGTTTCACATAAACCCAAGATAAATCTCTATTACATATCTACGGATCTAAAGACCATGATCTTATTACCAGTATAGGTTCAGGGATAGAATTATAGTGAATATACTAAGACTTGGGAATTGGCTCTTAAGATAATTACAATAATAATCTTAGCCAAATTAGTTTACCAAATATATATAACCTGATACAATGATAGCCCCTTAAAATTACCGAAAATGCTTAGTTAAACAGATAATACGTCATACTTTCCCAAGATTTCTCTTTTTTTTTTTGGTTAGATAGCGAAGTGATTAAGATAAAATAGCTGAATTGAGAACAGGTGCTGCTTTCCAAATGTTTGAAATCAAGTATCTATAAATAATATATTTCTAGTTATTGTTACTCTGATTTCAAGAAAAAAAGTAAAAAGCTTAAAAAAAGGAATATATATATATATATATATATATATATATATATATGAAAAGTACATTCTTGTCATATAAGAAATCTTAAAGATTTTCATTCCGTTTGTATAGTTAGAATTTGGCTTTGGCACAAGAGAAGTCAGGTTTTGCCTTCTGTTTCTGGAAAGACATTGTTTTTCTCCTGTCTTTGCTGGAATCTTGGGTTGAGATAGATAGTTTAACAGCATAACTTAGGATGAGAAGCTTGAGTTACACTTGAATAAGCTTAGAGTAAGAGCTACTTGAGGACAAGGGGTCAGATCCCACTGGATGGTCTAACTATGTGACATAGGCTGAGAGTTAGCTACACTTGTAGTCTGGCTGATCCTTCCAGAAGGACCAGCA